CGAATAAACTCGACCGAGACTCACTGGGCTAGAGCCGGCCTTCCAAAGTCTCACTTCTTGTAGATCTGTCGGCTCCAAGTTGCGTTGCTTCCATCTCCAGCCAATTCAGAGCCCACCGTCGCCTTATCGCGCTCCCCCACTGTAACAGTGTCAGGTCTTCCTCCAAGCTACCATGAAGTCCCGGGCACATGCCTCCATTGGATACAGCGGCCCGAGCACCTTTGCACCAGATTCGTCTACTACCCCACTTGGTGCTCCTCACTCGTCATCAAGTTCATTTTGTTCCACATCACCTTCCCCTTGTTCATTAATTTTAACGCGAGAACCTTCCTTTTTTACACATTACCAAGTGATACTTTCTTATTTATACATGTGCTAACGAATTTGTAGGCAACAAGTCTTCCTTTGGTGCATTGCTCTCGTAAAATCTTCTTCTCTTTTGTACATATCTTGTGGATCTGTGTAGGATGAGCATTTGATTTTTGTTCTTGTCCAGCACAGCCTTATGTACAAATTATAGTTTGCAAACAAGAATTAATTAATGTACCAAAAGTGGAGATGAATATATGAAATGTCTCGTTTTTGTTGTTGTTCATTCTACATCAATGAATTATACCAAGGAAAAAACTAATGATGTACCATAAGGATTTGTGTTTGTGTACCAAATCTAGTTATTCCATTATACAATTTGAAATTTAATTTGTTCCCAAATCAGCATATTCTGGACATAAAAAGAAATCTACATAATGGTTTTAGTACATTCATATTTTTAAAAAATTACAATTTATTTTCTACATATATATTATGTTGTAAGGTATACACAACATTACTCATAAAAGCATAATCTAATTTGTAGAAGTTTTAAACAAGGCCAAATGGACAGAGATGATAAGAGTACTAAATTTTCAAATGACAAGAATTGTAATACAAGATATACTACGAGTCCCACCAAGAGAGGCGGAACTATGTGTAGTTCGGGGGAGGGGGCACTTGAAGAATTTTGTAGTGCTTGGATTGAAGAAATTGGAGTCATTTGCCCACCGCCACTAGCCACCAGTGCTTGATTTGGACCATTTATATCCTATTTCTTCATATGAATCCATGAAAACCACTTCCACGTTGCCATTGCGACCTTTTGCAAAACACTAAACCCAAGTAAACCAGATCTTTTCATTTGTTATTGTTGAAGTAGTTGTGTTCTCTTCCATTGCGTTGACAATGCACATACATAAATGACTTCTCATATGGAAGTGTCTCCTAACTTGATAAACGCCATGCTTTTGCTTGTTGCTCTCATCCATCTCTGCAAGCAAAAGTGTCACCATGTCCAAATCTTCATCGCCGTCAAGAAAGTCATCGACACCCTCCTCTAACAATGAATGTTCAAAATACTTCTCATTTAAGCAAATGGCATTAAACATCATCAAATTTGCATATCTAATTCGTGTTCTTTGAATTACAAGAGAGAGG